AAACTGGAAGTGTGGTGGCACCATGTCATGGCACAACTAGCTTGTGCATGAGAAACAGTGGGGGGGGCGTGAGCAGTGGGAATGGCGGGAACATGGAACATGGGCATACTATTAATGAGTCACTGACACGTTGCTGAAAACAGTCACAATAAACCAGCAGTCTGCATGAGCAGTCTTCTCACCATAGAACTTGAGAGGGACACCCAAGGGTCTTCTAGTCCAACCCCCTGCAATGCAGGAATCACAGCTAAATAAACCCGGGCAGATAGCCATCTAATCTCTGCTTAAAATCCCCCAAGTAAGGCAAATCTACCACCTTCCAAGGCAGTCTGTTCCCCTGTTCCCATTTACCGTATTTTTCACTCTATAAGACGCGCCAGACCACAAGACGCACCTAGTTTTTGGAGGAGGAAAACAAGAAAAAAAATATTCTGAATCTCAGAAGCCAGAAGAGCAACTACACAGCGAAAGCAGCGATCCCTCTTGCTGTTCTGGCTTCTGGGATAGCTACACAGCCTGCATTCGCTCCATAAGACGCACACACATTTCCCCTTACTTTTTAGGAGGGAAAAAGTGAGTCTTATAGAGCAAAAAATACGGTAATTCATTTCAGCTACAGATCGGCAAATCTTCCAATATCAGCTTCTCTCAATTTCGCATTTCCCCAATCTTCAATTTGCTTCTCTACATCATTTACCCCCCCCTTAGAAAGTCCTCCTGAAAACTTCTCCACCGTTTTGGTAGGAATATATACTTGCTTGGGATGCGGGTGGCGCTATGGGTTAAACCACAGAGCCTAGGACTTGCCGATCAGAAGGTCGGCGGTTCGAATCCCCGCGACAAGGTGAGCTCCCATTGCTTGGTCCCTGCTCCTGCCAACCTAGCAGTTCGAAAGCATGTCAAAGTGCAAGCAGATAAATAGGTACCGCTCCAGCGGGAAGGTAAACAGCGTTTCCGTGCGCTGCTCTGGTTTGCCAGAAGCAGCTTAGTCATGCTGGCCACATGACCCGGAAGCTGTACGCTGGCTCCCTCGGCCAATAAAGCGAGATGAACGCTGCAACCCCAGAGTCGGCCGTGACTGGACCTAATGGTCAGGGGTCCCTTTACCTTTATATACTTGTTTGTATGCAGTTCTACCCAATACAGTGGTACCTCGGGTTACAGATGCTTCAGGTTACAGACTCTGCTAACCCAGAAATAGTACCTCAGGTTAAGAACTTTGCTTCAGGATGAGAACAGAAATCGTGCTCCAGTGGCACTGAGGCAGCAGGAGGCCCCATTAGCTAAAGTGGTACCTCAGATTAAGAACAGATTCAGGTTAAGAACAGACCTCCAGAACGAATTAAGTTCTTAACCCGAGGAACCACTGTATACAGCTATGCAAGTCCATTTTCCCTAACGAAAGCATTTCTGTATGCTGTTCCCCCCCTTCTAATTTATGCATTGCTATGCACACTTTTTGTACGCACTACTTTGCTGAAGAAGAACAACATGGCAAAATTCGCAGAGGCACGGATTCCGAAGACACTGTGTTTCACTTCCATGTTGTTTGGGAAAAGGGGGATTACCCGGCGTCGCTTTGAAACACGAACTGAATCAAACCCCTCTCCCGCCCTTCGTTCCAGCCGTGCGCCGAAGCGTTTGCCGACTTCCTGCTCTTCCGAGCGCTTGACACCCTTCCCCTCCTCCTCTACCCCAAGCCCTGCCAAGAAAGCACACATGGCGACCTGCCTTTGCGAGCGAGCCACCCCCAAGTCATTGTTAATCTGCTCATGATCTCTCTTCCCCCACCACCCCAGAGACAATGCGCCGACCGCACAAAGCCAGCAGGGAAGGAAGCGGGAGTGTGCGTCTCACAATGGGGAGGAAGCACTCGGGGGTCTGCTGCAGCTGCTGCTGCCATTTCCCCAGCCCTGCTAAGGTGTCGCTCTTAAGCCAACGGCTGCCGCAAGTAAATGCCGTTGCAGTTCAGAGGCCTTGAATGTGTTGCCGGAGGCCTTTTTGCAATTCTTCAACAACCATCTGTCATATTAAGAGAGAGAGAGTTTACTTCCTATCTTGCTTTCCTATGGTCTTTCATTCTTCTTTTCTCCCTGTTAATTCTACCCCATGTTCATGATTTGCTTCTTGAAGTTTCCTGTCTTGGATTAATGAAGGTAGGCACAGGAAGGTGATGGAGGAAGATGAAGGAGCCTATATGAGGAGCAGGATAGAAAGGATATCCCCGGGTGGGAGGCTGGGAGAAGCTCCCAGGTGAGAGCTGGGAGGAGTCACTCTTCTGTGTGAGGAATAAGGGTTAAAACGTAATTATGACAGAGGATCTCTTGTTTATTTCTTCCTCTTTTTCTTCTCTTCTACTTCTTTAGTTTCTTCTTTTGCTTATTCTTCCTTCTTATCTTCTTTGGATGAATTCAGCTTTCATTGTATTTTATGTCGAAAATTCCGAACAAAAATTGATATGTATATACAGTGGTACCTCAGGTTACAGATGCTTCAAGTTACAGACTCCGCTAACCCAGAAATAGTACCTCGGGTTAAGAACTTTACCTCAAGATGAGAACAGAAATTGTGTGGCGGCGGCACGGGAGGCCCCATTAGCTAAAGTGGTGCTTCAGGTTAAGAACAGTTTCAGGTTAAGAACAGATCTCCAGAACGAATTAAGTTCTTAACCTGAGGTACCACTGTATATATAAAAGGATGCACAGGCAGTACAGAGGGTAGGGATGTGCGTGGCGCTGTGGTCTAAATCAGTGAGCCTCTTGGGCTTGCCGATCGGAAGGTCGGCGGTTCGAATCGGCGGGACAGAGTGAGCTCCTGTTGCTTGGTCCCTGCTCCTGCCAACCTAGCAGTTCGAAAGCACGCCAGTGCAAGTAGATAAATAGGTACCGCTGCAGCGGGAAGGTAAACAGCATTTCCGTGCACTCTGGCGCTCGTCATGCTCCTCCATGTGCCAGTAGCAGTTTAGTTTTGCTGGCCACACAACCCAGAAAGCTGTCTGTGGACAAACGCCGGATCCCTCGGCCTGAAAAGCGAAGTGAGCGCCACACACCATAGTCGCCTGTGAGTGGACTTAACCGCCATGGGGTCCTTTGCCTTTAAATCCTTAGAATGGTAGAGTTGGAAGAATGGTAGAGTTGGACTACAAGGATCACCTAGTCGAACCCCCTGCAATGAAACTTTGGCCCAAAGCGGGACTTAAACCCACAATCATGAGATTAACCGACTGAGCTACCCCTTTCATCTAGGTTGATTGCATTTCTATACTGCCTCTTCTCTCATGGGAGGCCAGTGAGCAGCATAAAAATGCAATCCAAAAATACATTTCTAAAATAATAATGAAAAGACAAAACAACACCAGTTGCAGAAATTTCAGTAAGCATTCCTGTCTCAAAGGCCCGGGCAAACAGACAGATGCATTTGCTCAGAGGGGGAGTTCTGCAAACGGAAATACTTGCAGGAACTATTTTAGAAGCCCCTACCATGCTACAGTGGTACCATGGGTTACAGACGCTTCAGGTTACAGATGCTTCAGGTTACAGACTCCGCTAACTCAGAAATAGTACCTCAGGTTAAGAACTTTGCTTCAGGATGAGAACAGAAATTGTGCTGCGGCGGCAGCGGGAGGCCCCATTAGCTAAAGTGGTACCTCAGGTTAAGAACAGTTTCAGGTTAAGAACGGACCTCCAGAACGAATTAAGTACTTAACCCGAGGTACCACTGTATTTGATGTTTTAATGTAGGTTGTAAACTGCTTTGTGTGTGATTTCCCTCCTTAAAAATACTAAGCGGCATGGGATTGAAATGAATAATAATAATAATAATAATGTTGTTGTTGTTTAGTCGTTTAGTCGTGTTCGACTCTTCGTGACCCCATGGACCAGAGCACGCCAGGCACTCCTGTCTTCCACTGCCTCCCACAGTTTGGTCAAACTCATGCTCATAGCTTCGAGAACACTGTCCAACCATCTTGTCCTCTGTCGTCCCCTTCTCCTTGTGCCCTCCATCTTTCCCAACATCAGGGTCTTTTCCAGGGAATCTTCTCTTCTCATAAGGTGGCCAAAGTATTGGAGCCTCAGCTTCAGGATCTGTCCTGAATATTATCTGAATAATAATACAGTGGTACCTCGGGTTAAGTACTGAATTCGTTCCGGAGGTCCGTTCTTAACCCGAAACACCACTTTAGCTAATGGGGCCTCCCGCTGCCACCACGCCGCCAGAGCATGATTTCTGTTCTCATCCTGAAGCAAAGTTCTTAACCTGAGGTACTATTTCTGGGTTAGCGGAGTCTGTAACCTTAAGCATATGTAACCTGAAGTGTATGTAACCCGAGGTTCCACTGTAATAATAATAATAATAATAATAATAATATCCCAGCCCTACATAAGAGATGCCAGGCATTTAATCTGGGGCTTTCTGCCTGCTCGCTGCTCACTTCCTCCCAGAAAAGCGACAGGAGTCTCGAGGAGTTAAAAGTTAACTTCTGTTGCCACCAGAGGACCATTGTGAGCACACAGAGTTCTCTGATGGGACCACTCTGAACTTTGCTTCCAAAGGCCGCTGTGTTCACACTAAGTCCTTTGTGCCCCTGTGTCAGAACAGTCTGTGACTCAGACACCCCTCTCCCCTCCATTCTCTTCCCCAAACACACTTGTCCCCTTGCTTTTCTTTCTTCCTCCTTTCCAAAGATCTTCTGTGGCGAGGGAGAGAAGCAAATCCCATACCGGGGGGCGGGAACTGTGCGACCTGAGGAGACACACTGTACACACTTCCAAGGTTGTGCTTTTCAGGCCATGCACAGAAATGCATCAAAAGATGGGGAGAATGAATTAATTCAAGCAGTTCCTCGAAATGGGCTCCTTTGCAAGCAAATTAATCCTGATTTGTCATGCTCAAGTGTGAGGCATTTGGGAAACACCACCTGAGGTCATGCAGGGGGTGGGCCACAGAGTTGGAAGGGACCACGAGGGTCATCCAGTCCAACCCCCTGCAATTCAGGAATTTTCACCCAACATGGGGCTCGAACCCACGACCCCAATATTAGGAGTCTCATGCACTACCGACAGAGCTATATGACACTTGGTCCCTTCAGTTTCTCGTTTAACCAGTCTTCAGGCAGCTAGACTGTTGACTGGGAGCAGCCGCCGAGACCACATAACACAGGTCTTGAAAGACCTACACTGGCTCCCAGTACGTTTCCGAGCACAATTCAAAGTGTTGGTGCTGACCTTCAAAGCCCTCTGAACAGCCTCGGCCCAGTAGACCTGAAGGAGTGTCTCCACCCCCATTGTTCTGCCTGAACACTGAGGTCCAGCTCCGAGGGCCTTCTGGCAGTTTTCTCACTGCGAGAAGCCAAGTTACAGGGAACCAGGCAGAGGGCCTTCTTGGTAGCGGCACCCACCCTGTTGAACGTTCTCCCACCAGATGTCAAAGAGAAGAACAACTACCAGACTTTTAGAAGACATCTGAAGGCAGCCCTGTTTAGGGAAGCTTTTAATGTTTAATAGGTTATTGTATTTTAATATTCTGTTGGAAGCCGCCCAGAGTGGCTGGAGAAACCCAGCCAGATGGGCGGGGTATAAATAAATTATTATTATTATTATTATTATTATTATTATTATTATTATTATATCAGTGATGTAGGTGTGATGTATCTGAGGGGTGGTCTTAGGTTACACCCCTTCTGTGATGTATGTATGATGTTTCTGGGGGTGGTCTTGATCTACAGGGTGGCAATTTCAAAAGTCTTTATAAGGCCTTGCGCACCATTTTTCTGGGTGCTCTTCCTCTCCTGCGTGTGAGGGGAGCACCCTGTTGCAACAGATCAATAAAGATCAAGCTTACTAGCTGCTTTGCTTCTCAATATTCTCTGGTTGGCCTCTGTTGGCTTCTCTCCTACCAATAGGGAACCCACATAAGGACTCTATATGGGCTCTTGGATACCCCATAAGGGAAAAGGGCAATTTTTGTTTACAACAAGTCATACCTCGGGTTACAGCTGCTTCATGTTGCGTTTTTTTGGGTTACGCACCTGCCGAAACCCGGAAGTACTGGAACGGGTTACTTCCGGGTTTCGGTGGTCGCGCATGCGCAGAAGCACTGAATCGCAACCCGCTCATACGCAGACTGGTACACTGCGGGTTGTGAACGTGCATCCCGCACGGATCACGTTCGCAACCCGAGCGTCCACTGTAATTTTCTTTCAAGATCAAATCAATATTATTTTGATCTTGCAGGGCCCTGAAAAGGACCCATCAGCTGGTGCCTACTCTGCCTGTATGGTAATCCAGCACAGATTATTTTTTTTTGGGGGGGGGTCTCAGCCTCATCTCAACAGACTTGGGGGGGGGGGCTGAAGACACCTCAGCCCTACAGAGTTGGGGCCTTCAGGCGTTGCACTCAAGTTGGGCTCGGAGGCCTGCCATTGTGGGAGCACCCAGCGGCTGAAAACAAATCACAGTCCGTGTTTTTGTTCCACGAGCCTTCCTGCTTCAGAAATCTGAACGACGCACTTAAGGACTGAATAAGAGTTTGGCTGCTGGATCGGGCCCATCTAGTCTCATCGCAGCCAAATACAGATGAATTTTATGGGAAGCCTGCACTTGTACCCTGTGCAATATTTATTTTAAGCATAGCTCAGAGTGGGTTGGGCTGGATTCCTCATCCGATCCAAAAGTGAGAGGGGGGAGGCAGAAAGAGAGAGGCAGAGAGCTAACAGCACACAAAAGTATGTTTTAGCAAAACGGATGAGAAACTTCGGTTCCCAGATGAGAGTTGGACTCCTGCCCATTGGGGCAGGCAAAATACAGACAGCGCCATTCCTAAGAAGCGATTAACATTTCTGCAGCAAGGATAGCCAGTGCTTTGGCGTGAATGCCGCAAGTCAAGCCCAAGGAACGAGACCACGTGGCTCAAGCACGTACCCAGCTTGTGGATAGCAAGAACCAGAAATGCCGTGATGGATCACACCAAAGATCTACTCGGAGCCATGTATGGCTTCCTATAGTGGCCATACAGATAGTTCCTGGAAGCCTACAAGCTGGGCAGTGTTGGATGTGCAGCAGCAGGAATAATTACATTTTCAACTCAAGGGTTATGTTATCAGTAAATCAGCTAACCAAGGGACATGTGTGGAGGTGTTGCTTAGCAACCCAGTCAGAGTAACATGGTCTCTAGTGCTCTGATTGGCTATGCACTTCCGAGGGAGCTTGTCCTCTGTGTGTTTGGTTCAATGTCTCCCTTCTCTGTACAAGGCCTGAACTAAGAAAGGCAAAACTTTATTTTGCCTATGGCTATGCACTGTTTACCACAGCAAAGTGTTACTGGGATTTCTTTCTCTCTGGACTCTGCTTGTGTTAAGTTACTTTCTGAAGCAGACACAAAGACTACTCTTCTACTCCTGCCCCTTGTCGGCATCTGTTGCACAGCTGTTTCCCTTTTCTTGTGAGGAATCCTATTCGGAATAAGGGAATTTCCCTTTAAAAAGGGGAAACGTTGACAGCTATGATCTGTTGCTTGGTGGCCTGCAACATAGCCATTAATACTACTAAGACTAGTCCTCATTAATTTGTCTGGTCTCCTCAAAAGTGGGCAGAGAAATGAATGTAAATTTTGACATTATAGTCGTACATTGGAAGTCAAACGGAATCTGTTCCGGAAGTCCGTTTGACTTTTAAACGTTCAAAAGCCAAAGCGCGGCTTCTGAAAGCCAAAGCGCAGCTCCTGCAGCCAATTGGAAGCCACAAAGGCCCGTCGGACGTTCGACTTCCAAAAATAGTTCACAAACCAGAGCACTTACTTCCGGGCTTGCGGTGTTCAGGAGACAAAACGTTCGAGAACTAGCTGTTCGAAAACCAAGGTACGACTGTATAGTAGGCTAGTTTCCGCACAAACCAAAACATCCCTCTGTCCAGACAATCAAGAGGCATTGTCAGGTTTCAGGGGCACATCCTTGCTAGGCCAAAACATGCAAAAGGGGTGTGAAGGAGGATGAGTGAGGGGTGTGGCCTAGGGAGAACCCCAAGGGCCAGGTAGAGAGGGCTTGAGGGCTATATTTGGTCCCCACTATTGTCTTTGAAGAATGCTGGGCTGGGGAAAAGATTAGTGAATCGAGGAGGCAGTCAGGGCAGGAGAGAAGCTAGAAGATAATCACTCTTGGTGAAAAGATTCAGCCACACGAGGATTTAGAAGGCATCTATGTGGGAATGCTCAAGGATGCAGGAGAGGATATATTGTTTGATTATAGCCTTTCCAACTTGTGTAAACAAGTTCAAAATTTAGCAGAGTAACATTCCCCTTTTTAAACTCAGCGGATGCGTTTGCTCAGGCTCACTAAAGCCTCTCTAATCACTGTTCTGGTATTTCCCCCTTATTCCCTCATAAAAGATAAGACACGACACAGTCTTCTATAGAAGTATAAAAAGAGTTTACTCACATTATGTTCACAATCGGATCCCAGAAGGCAGGCTTTATTTAGAAAAGTAACATACACCTGGAAACTATCTCATAAGGAGACAGTCCCTTTGTCCTCTCTTGGCTGGAAGTCAAGAGAGCATCTTTGGCTAAGCGGATGTTGCTTCTTCGATGCATGTAGTCAAAGAGAGAGAGAGATGGCTGCCCTGCCCTGTGCTTTTGTCGTTACCTGCACAGGTGAGGCCACGCCCACCTCTAGTCACATGCAGAGGAAGTCTGCCCCAGCCCAGAAGGAAACAGGAAGTTTTCCTGCTGGCTGGACAAACATCCCCATGTATAAACTCTAGGAATGTTGTACTTGACTGCTTTTGTGTTTCACATCCCACGATCTACACCCAGAATGCATCAGGAATATCTATAAACGGCCATATGTCCTCTGTAGGCTCAAGTCTTCCTTCTTCCTGTGAACATAAAACAGCTTGGGAGCAATTGATTCCCACCTCAAGACGCCTCTCTTCCCTAATGCATCCAGACACGTCTGCCGAGTTTGCGACTGCCGAACGCCGTGGCTTTTCGTTAGGCTAGTTGAGAAGAGATCAGTCTTGGCAGGTGAATTTGCTTCCTTTCCTGGGGCGCTAACCAAGTGCGAGTTCCTCTTGCAAGGCCCTCCTCTCGCCTGCCGCTGAGGTCACTTGGTCGACGCTTGGAGCTTTTCCACTTCAAACAATTCCTCTCTTCCCTCCGGGACGAGCCTGCTCCTAGCTTGTTTTCCACGGTGCCACTGATGACAATAGCCAGACTTCGATTACACATGGAAGTTCTGTATTGATTCTGCAGAACCGGGGCTTGTTTTGCTAACGGGAACACAAACTGCAGCCCGGACGTCTGACTGATAAATGTCGAGACCAAAGTCCTCCAAAGGGACATCTCCAAAAAGCCAAACAACTTGCATTCCTCAGCGAGGTGCCATCTGGTGGTCCCTCTCCCAAGAACCCAGAATACGGAAACTGGATATGAGAGCCAGTGTGGTGTAGTGGTTAAGAGCGGTAGACTCGTAATCTGGGGAACCGGGTTCGCGTCTCCGCTCCTCCACATGCAGCTGCTGGGTGACCTTGGGCTAGTCACACTACTCTGAAGTCTCTCAGCCCCACTCACCTCACAGAGTGTTTGTTGTGGGGTAGGAAGGGAAAGGAGAACGTTAGCCGCTTTGAGACTCCTTCGGGTAGTGATAAAGCGGGATATCAATCCAAACTCTTCTTAACATTGGCATGGCATCATTAGTGAAGATGCTACTTTACCGAGTTATAAGGAGGTATTTTTAATTTAGTTGGATAAGAAGGAGTTTGGTCATCTTGATATCTGTAAACACCCAATGGATAGGCAGTTAGAGAGCCAAGGGCGTGAACAACCAGGGATATATGTTTTTTAAAAAGCTTGGAATCTCTCTCTCTCTAGCCTTTGGAATGTAAACACCCTTCAAAGTTTGAGGAGATGGGTTAGGGTTCTTCTCGGCATGGAAGATTTAGCACCACCCAATGACCGCTGTCCTGTTTTAATTTGGAAGAGGTATAGCAAACTTCTAATGTTCTTACAGTCACGAAATTAAAAGACACCTGCTTCTGGGGAGAAAAGCAATGACAAACCTAGACAGCATCTTAAAAAGC